CATCATCATCATAGGCCCTCAAATGGAACCTTGGATTTCATCATGGTCTCGTGGTATTATAGCCTTGGGGGTTTTTCCCCTCACACGAAACACATTAGACACCGGTATTGAGTATCATCCTCCTTTCCCCCAGTTATCGTCGACAGCCTATGTAACCGTATTTCCCTTGCTCCGGGGGAATTTTATCCGTTTTCAGCAAGAGCCCAGCATAATTGGCTTTCTGTTGAATTAAGGTGCTGAGCCGAACATCGGAGCAGATTAAGAGTATAGATCGTCTTTTTCCCCTGTAGATCACTCCCACGATGAGGAATCTTGTGGCAATTTCCCGAAGTTTTCCCAGAATAGGTGGGGCAAACGTTGATTAAATTTATGCAGATGAGGATGTGTCCGTGCACTGAGAGTAGGCTAAATTTACGACAACGCGAATGACTTTACCCCTTACGGACTATGTGTGGGTGCGGCGGATAAAGAAACGTGTAATAAATCTCGGGTGCTGTAGTGAATCCAATCAAATGGAGTGCGGAATAGTTCCACCTTAATCCGAACGATTATGGGTACATAGGCAGCACTCGCCAGCGACACATTAAACTTTTGATGGGAATGTGGTATTTCACATATTGCACTCTTAGCTAATAGCCCCAGTGGAAGATTCTAGAAGGATGAGTTTCATGTAGATGTTCACATCGCCTTGTTTGAGATAACTTCGACAACGTCTCGACAAAAGGTAACGGCGGTTTTGGTAGGATCAAGGTATAAGAGACCCTAATGGCCGTAGCATCTTCTCTCCAAGTCAACCCATTTCTGCCAGGGATCCTCTTAGTCATTGCCATGAGAAGGCGTTGAATTCAATTTGAACTTCAGCCTTTTTCTGTTATTTGCTGCTGTGGTTGTCATAGCCCAACTAGGAGGGCCGACCTAACTTTAGGGGCACCCAGTTCTTACTAGTGCTAAGCCAGGGTACCCACCCTTGAGCTGGTTACGGTAACCCCTGTCAAATATGAATGCCTTGTCCATTCTATCAAAAAAAACTTTATCCTCATTAACTAAAAGATTTGCTTCCATTTTTAAGTCAGGTCCCCTGTTCATATTTCTTCGGCCCGTCTATTCTTCCACAGCTTTATAGTTTACTGCTATTAGATAAAATGATAGAGCATCTTACAAAACACATGAGTAGATGAATTTTCTTATTGCAATAAATAGAATTTGAAAAAGAACGTTGGTAGTAATGGTACGGAGTGGTGAAGGATAGAATAAACGCAATGTCATCTCGGTGAGTTGAGGACTAAAAAAATTCTAGGAGGAAAATCTCTTAACTGGCTGCTTTTACCAAATCTAAATACATGATAGGAAGCAAAATCAAAACAGACTGATTCTTCTACATAACATTAGTAAATATGCGGAGTATACGGAGTAGTCAGTGGACAGAAGTTTCTACACCCCCTAGAGCCCCACTCAGCTCACCGCCACTTTTAGATCTGTACCGCCTACCTAAAGCGGGAGGCGTGCCGCCATGCTATATTTGAGTTCATAGTTACAATATTATCATTACATAATAAAAGAGACCGGTTTACTTGTGCCAGGTTCATGTTTTGACAGGGGTTACAGTAACCAATTCAAGTGTGGGTATGCCCCTGGCTCAGCGCTAGTAAGACCCCCGTCTACTGGAACCCGAAGTGTCTAATCGAGATTCTGGGTTCTGATGATTCTTAGGTCAACATTGTCGATAAGACATACGATTAACGGATAATCAAGAGAAACATATGCAAGATACATAGCTCCTTTGGAGATAGTTGCTAGTCCACGATCGATATTAAAAAGAATGCAGTGGTAAACCACCAGAGTAGTGTGATTGGGCCACTGCTGGAGACTCCGAGTTAAAGAAATTCGGGTCCACGTAGACAAGACAATCATCGGAGTTGAAAGGTGGGTTGGGTTGTTAGTTAACTCAATACACTGGCCGTGTACACTGCATTTTTAGACAAGCAGCGAACTCTCATAGCAATGTCTCCAACAGCTTCATGAATGGCGCAACTGATTTCTTTACTTCAAACCACATTTTCTTGAGATCAATTAATACGGGGCTAGAAGACAATTTTGCTCCAAGTTGTTGTTTGGGTGGTCGTTTATGGCGTCAAACAGTCTGGTTAAGATTTTGTTTGTTGACAATTTACACTTATGTGCACTGCACTGTTCGAGATAATAATTGAGCAGCAACAGCAGCAATCGAAAAACTGAGCAGGCTCACTAGGGGCAAAATTATGGAAGTGCATCTGTTTTTGCGAAAACAATCGATTAAACTAAGATTAACTATGCTAAGACTCTCCAGGTTGAGGTATGCGATGTGAGTGATCCCATGGCCCCCATTGTGATAGGAATGCAGTGGTAGTTGGATAGTTTCCTCTCCTCTTTTCCTCCAAGGCAGTCAGTCAGAGATTTCTAATACAGTCGTATTGATCTCTCTTGTTTCTTCCTCCGAAGACTGTGGTGTAGCGAAGCAATTGCCCCGATTTTCCCACAAGGAATTTTGAGGAATCCCCTAGTCCAAAAAACATAACTATGTTTACAGGTTGCCCTGACCAGCGCTGCCAGCAGGGTTGGTGTTGGCAACAGCAGAAGAGGGGAGCTTCTCGCCCTTGAAGCTCGACAGAACGGCGGCGGAGGAGCTGACCAGCTCTCCTCCGTTGACGTTGGCCACACAGGGGCGACCGATGGAAGCCTGGCAGGCGGCGGAGTTGCTGTCGGAAGCGTAAAGGGAGCCGAAGAAGGTGTCCAACTCGAGAGTAGCGTTGACGTTGGAGAAGTAGTTACCCTCGGCAAGGACGTGGCCACCAGCGCCGATCTCGAAGGCGTGGCCGGAGTTGTCGTCCCAGTAGTTGTTGACAGCGTGGAGGTAGGTGTTGTCCTTGACCTTGGGTGCACGGCCACTAGTCTTGTAGAGGTAGTTGCCCTGGAAGGTGACCTTGTCACTGGAACCATCAAGGTACACGTTCCAGTAGTGGTGACCGTTGCAGGTGGCCGAGTACTCAGATTCACCGTTGATGAAGTTGTTGGTGATAGAGACACGGTTGTCAGCTCCAGTACCCAGGACGTAGTGCTGACGACCAATGCGGGCAGTCTAGATGACAGGTCAGTCTATGTTTATAGCCGGGAAGGTCTGTGGGAGGAACATACGGTAATGTGGTCGAGCCAGACCAGGTCAGCCTGGTCGAGGGTGATAGCATCACCACCCCAGACGTAGCGGGCGTTGATGTCAGTGACAGCAATGTTCCTATGATGAACCAATCAGCGTACATTCCAATGAAGCTTTCGCGCCTTAAACCGAGAAAATGGTTAGACTTACTGGACGATGATGTTCTGGACACCGTTGGCAAGGCGCAGACCACGGCCCTTGATAACACCGCTAGTTCCCTCACCAATCAAGGACTTGTTGGAGCCGATGTTGATACCGAGCATACCAGCGTTTTTGCTGTGAGACGTGTAAGCATCAAGGGGAAGTCGATTATGGCCCGGGTGATGGGATACTCACTAGGTGACGGTAGTGGTAGCGGCATTGGGCTCGTAGTTGTGGCACCAGTTGTCCTTGTTGATAGCAACCTGGCAGTTGGGGGCAGTACCGAAAGGAAGGCAACCGCCGGTCGTGGTGGAGCCCTCACTGTCGGTGAAGTCGAAACTAGCAGTCCGCCATTGTTAGCCGTAGCTCATCCATAGCAGGGGCTCTTTACTCACGTCTTGCTCAGAACAATGACACGGGCCTCCGAGTCACCGAGGTAAGAGACCAGCTCCTCGTTGGTGGTAGGGTACACAGGGGCGGCATTGCCACCACCGGTAGCGCCAGCAGCGAAACCTTCAGGTTTGCCAACAACGCCGACAGCGGCGACCTTGGAGGCAATGGTGACAATAGCCGTGAGAACAAGTGCGTACTTCATTTTGGAGGTGGAAATAGGTAGTTTTTAAGGAGTGACGGTAACCGAAAGGCAAGTGAAACTGTAAAGCGACAAAGAGAAAAGCAAAGAATGAATGGATTGGAGAGGAATGGAACAGAGGAGAAATGATGTTTCCTTATATATCTGGGATTTTAGGTTATGGGCTTTGTTACCGCCATTCGATCTCCCCCCTTTAGCTCCTCTACTCAACAACCTTCGAAATAAGAGTGGATAGGGTCTCAGAAGCCGTGGATGAGAAATCCCCGATGGTGGAGATGCCAATGCCGATCAGTGCGTGGCAGTGGTTGCTTTGGGAAGGCGGTCATCAGTGAGCTCCACTTCCGAATTCTCCTCATTGACAGCGGCCAATCAATCCTAAGACCCAAGGAGAAGTTTAGGAGAAATGGTAGATCTGCGGGTGCTTAATTTATTGGTGTTTTGATTAGACAAAGGTGCAGGTAGTTGTAGATGCTCATGTTTTTCCCCAATTAACGTGCAAGATTCCAAAGTTAAAATTTTGTTGAGTAAGCCCTTATTCGAATTGATTAAAAGCTAACTAAGGGTTAGATTAGAGTGCTACTTTATATTGAGAAGATACTCCATAGGGAGTAGTGTGACGTGTTCTCTATTGTGTAAGTTCTGTAAGCGATATCGAAAGTAAGTTGTGGGTGTTCTATCTTGAACAGGTAATTAGGTGAGAATCCTCCTTTCGGCCAGACACCGGGATTAGGTCGCCCTATGTTGTGCTCCGTGGAGTATACTATAATTATGCCCCTTACTCCGGCCGGTACAGAGTAAGGAGTTGAATTTTTGAACTTTTAAATTACGGCCCGCGATCCACCAATTTGATAGAAACCGGGGCATAACTAAGCTTTGCATAAATTAATTAACTTCCAATTAACTTCCAACCAACTTCCAATCATTAAATTTGGTTGAACAATTCAAATAAACTTGCCTTGGCACATACCGACCTACGAAGTGCAAATTACAACGTAGGTAGTGTATTGGAAGACTAGACAAGTTGTGTTTCATGGGCCCATAATGTACGCAAAACAAGATGTCTGTGGTTAAAGAAGATGAAGAAGAGATGTGTAGTTTGTTGAATTTACCTACCGCCACACATTTTTCCATGCCCCACGGGGAAAACGAGAGGTCTGACAAATAAGTGTCAAGCAAAGCCTGAGTGCCTTGTCGCCTGGATCCCCAAGTACATCAGTATGCCACAAAAAGAAATTAACTAACTATTCATTAGTTACCTAATCTCAAGACTTGTTGTTCAGTGGGAATTGTAGTTTACTGGGGCCCACCAACCTGCATAGGGAAGGTGTGTTGAGTGAGTGCTTGGCACGATTAGCCGTTGAGACGTTTCTCCTTTCGTCAATTCGAACCCCTTTGTATATGCGCGTCCCCACTCTATGATAATTTGTCATCCGATCACCGCCACTGCCGAGTGTGCCTTGTCACAGAGCCCTCGTGAGTGCCACCTGATTTAAGTTGAGGGAAAAAGCGGATGTTAAAGTGGATGCAAGCTGGGTGTGAGAAATTACTAGGACTGCGCTACACGTAAACTCTCATCACTGTCGAAGCCTTCAGAAATCTCCATCATTGCCAAGACACGATCAGGAACACGGAAAGAATGCATTGGCAGATAGTAGGTAGTGACTGTAATATGGTGTTTATCTATGCTGCATATACGCCGTGCCCTGCAGCATCTTCAGACTGGTCTACATGAACGCCCTTGTGCCACGTCATCAAAACTAGACTAGCCTTCATGGGTACGAGAAAAACCAGGAGACTGGGAATAAGTATCTACCTTGGTACCATGATGAGGCAGATTGACTATTTCTAATCCTCGCACCAAGCTGACGCGTACGCCGGGGCTTGGGGATAGTGTACGAAGTACTGGTCAGGAGAAGTCGAGGTACATGATTTAATGTAAGATAGATTGAAAATTTGTAAAAGCTTAGTTGAGACTATCAGATCAGAAGTTGTTGAGTTTCGAATCTCAACATGAAGCTACGGTCGTTGATTTCACATAGATTTTTCTTTGTTGTGGCTTATCAATCAAACATGGGTAAACTAGCTCTTGAGGAGATGACTTCATCCACCAGATTTGGCCAGTCAACTTCTAAATCTCACTTCTAGAAATTTACAATGTAGGTCTAACCTCCGGATATTTCTGTTCATATCAATCTCTATTGTGACTCTGATCACAACACTGAGGAAGAATAGCAAGGCCTTGCCAACTCTCAACGGCTCTTTTTTTTTCAAAATTCAATGTTTGGACACTGGTTGGAGATATATATATA